TTTATGGGCCCTGTTCTAGCAGCTCTCCCAGTCTGAGACCGTGAGCGAGGGAGCTGCAGTCTCCCGGCCGCCGCCTCTCAGGCTCTGTGTCCCCTCCAGCAAGCTGGAAGTGGGCATCCCTGGCTCCAGATGCCTACCAAGGTTTCTGGGACATTTCCCAGCTTCCAGAGTGTGGAACACCATGGCGACTCTCCCTTGCTGGAGCCATGGCTCTCCATCGCAGTAGACTGGCCCCAGCCAACGTGGTCCCGGTGCCCAGAAGCATACTATCCATTTAGATTGCATTCCCTACAAACTGAATTGTAGCTTTGCTGGCCTTTGAGGCCAAGTGTCCTCAATTAACATTGGTCACTGTGTCCCCTTTCTCTCCAGGACTGCCGCTCGCTTTCCTACCAACATTAGTGAGATTTGATACACTTACCATCGTATCGGCTGGCCCTGTGCAGTTCAATGGCTTTTAAGAATTCAGAACTCAGCAACCAACAACATAATCAATTTTAGAACATTTTTCTTACCCCAAAAAGAAATCTGACACCCCTTAATCCTCACCAACCTCCCTAAACTCCCTCCCATCTCTGGGTTTACCTGTTGTGGACATAACATACATAAATGGAATCATGAAGTTCCCAAGGGCTTCTGGACCGTTTAATGTCATCCCTGGGTTCCTCCCACAGTCCTTGCCCTTCCCGAGTCCCCAGTCTCACACTGGCCTTTGCTCCCCATAAATGCAGGAGGTCCTATCAACCTGTGGTGTCTGCTATCAGCCAAATGCCAAGAGCTTCAGGAGCATATATAAATAAAGCCTTGCCTTTCTTTTTGTATTATTGTGAAACGTGGCTAATAAAATCCTGCTTCATCCAGAAATGCCATTCCAAAAACAGATGTCCTCCAAGCTGTGACTTTCCTACCACTCAAGCCCCTCTCCTCTTAAATTTTTTATTTAAATTCAATTTGGCAGCATATAGTATAACACTCAGGGCTCATCCCATCAAGTGCCCTCCTTAGTGCTCGTCACCCAGTTACCCCATGCCCCCAGCCAGCTCCCCTCTAGCAACCTTTGTTTCCCAGAGTCAGGAGTCTCTCATGTCAAACCCCTCTCTTAAACAATACAGCAGAAGCAGCTCAAATAGGTGGAAGAACCCATGGTCAACGTGACCAAAATGTCCTGTACCTGTGGCTGGTGTCCAGCACGTGCCTGCACACTGCCACCTGGCCAGCTCCAGTCCTGAGTGGATTTGCAGGATTCCCTGCATGCTGTCTTGATCCTAGTAAAAAAAAAAAAAAAAAGCCAGTGGAGGAGGGTTGGGGAATGATTAGATGGTGATACAGACATGCTTTCCAATTTTGCTTCTACACCAGTTTTTCTTTACTGCTTAGGAAGAAACTCAGAGGTGTTCGTCTTTAAGGGAGTTGGTCAGTCACTTCAAAATTCATTCAGCAGTTTGAGCTGGAATCTCTGAATGCCAGGGTGTGATGGATTTTAGTTGGTTTCTGCTTGTCCTTGAATATTAAATATGGCACAAAGGAGAGGAAGATGTACTTACAATGCAGTGGGAGGCTTTAATCCAATGGCCTCTAGACTCTGCACTTGATGCCCTCCCTTCCCAAATAAATAAGGGGAGTGCCAGGCCCACTTCTGCTCCTGAGCTTCCAGGAAAGACCTACCAGTTAAGGGCCATGGGACACTGGCTGCCCCAGGCTATGCAAGAAAGGGAGGGCCCAAGTATGCTTGAGCTTAGAATAAAAAGCAGAACTGGTATTCCAGCCCTGGCCTTGGGTGTCTCCAGTCAGGTGGAGGAAGAGAGAGGTTCTTTAAAAAGAGGCTGGCAACAGTTACCCAAGGCTGGAGCCCTGGCTCCGCTGCTTGCAACTCATGTGATCAGGTAATCATCCTGAGGTCTCAGGTCCCACGCGTGGGAGCACTCAGTACATGGAGGCCCTCGCCCTGTCCAGGTGTTGCCCTCGTGAGGAGCCCAGATGCTCCCTTAGGTCTTAGTGCCCCTTAGCACAGAGCACTCTGACCTGGTTCTGGGTCGGAGCAGTTTAGGAAAGTGGGGCACTGTTTATCTAGGCTTCTTCCTGTTGTTAGGGCTTTCTTGCTCTAGTGTTTGCTTTTTCAGATTACAAAAGCAATGTATGATCCAATATTCTATATTGTGGGAGAATATAAAATACAGCGACTTCCCCCAGCCCATGGGTACAGGCTGTGAAGATGGGGTGCCTCACATCACTCCTAAATGGCTGCAAGGTCCATCAGCTTGCTTTGGGTCTCTCCCCAGCCCTCCTTGCCCTGACACCTCTCCCAGATCTTGGCGCTGGGTGCACACTGACACGCTGTCCATTTGGGTTGGTTGAGGCAGGTGCTGTGCCCTGTCGAGCCAGCCTTGTCTGTTAGAGGAATATGGAATCCCCACTCTCATATTTGACAGATACCAAGAGGTCTTGTCTAACATGCCTCCCCAGACCCCAGGTCCTAGATTCCCTTCCTAGGAGGAGCGGCTCCCAAGAATATTAGTTTACTGGATCCTTCCATTTCAATTAGACAGGAAGAAAATACAACAGTGACCTGAGAGGAGCGAGAGTAGATTGGCCCCTGACTTTTGCCTGCGCCCTGACATGGGTGTCCTGCTGGTTGACTTTTGCTCAATGCTGCTTCCTTGGGACTCACACAGAATAGGAAAACCAGCCCCTGCTTTTTAGCCAGACCGTTCAGCTTTAATAAGGAAAGTTGAACTCAACAGCAGAGTCTGAAGGCTGCCTGGGGTCGTGCAGATTTTGGAGACAGACAGGCCTGAGCTCAAATCTGGATTCCCTTCCCAACTTTCATGTGGTATTCGGCAAGCTACTCTATTTTCTGGACCTCAGGAAAATGGAGCTAAAGTTCTCTTGGAGATGGCTGTGAAGATGGAAATGAGCTGCCATGCATCAAGAGCCTGCTGCAGGCAAGCACAGGACGCAGCCCCAGGCTCCTCTGGAGGGCCAGAACCACAGAGTCCGACTCAACTGCTGGGCAAGGCCTACATGTGGCCTCAGCCCTACCCACTCAGAACACACTGCCTGTTCATATGCCATTTCTTCATCTTTCACAAAGTGCTTTCACATACTGTCCCACTGACACAGGGGTGGGACCTAGCTTGCTTAACTATGAGAAACGTGAATATTTATAACATGCTTAGTCACATTCATCATCTTATTTTACATCTGGATTTAGAAAGGAAGGAAGACATGCTCCTATGTTTCTCTGTCATTCTTTTACATGTGAATTTAGTCCACCATTATGATTATAGCTGTCTGAGGAAAAGGACTGTTTTTGCATATGCCACCTCATTTCATTATGACCACAGCCTCATGGGGTAACAGTGCTCCCGTTTGAAAACATCCGAGGAGGTGAGGTAAGCGCCTGCAGTTGCAGCTGGTAGGAGGCAGACCAAGCACAGGACCTGGTTGTTCCAAGGCTTTGATTTTGCCTCTTTCTCCCTCTGGGTCCAACCTCTGTTGGTCTTTGGAATGGCCACAAGCATCACAGGGCAACAGCACCGAGTCCTTTGAATAGTATTGGCTGTCTCTGTACTAAAGGAAAACATACACACACACACTTTTTTGTGCAGACTCAATGTTCTTAGACTTCACATTCTCCTTTGTATTGTTTTGTTGTTGTTATTGTTGTTGTTGATGTTAAAAAGAAAAGCCTTGTTCTTCTCATTCATACATAATTCATGCTTCTGGCTGGGAAAAGAGTAACACAGGAGGGCAAAGTATTTGAAAACAAATTGCTCAGTCTTTCCTTTGGTAAGTTTTTCTTAGAAATGGGAGTGAAAGCCCCCAGTGACTGGGGAAATGTTTCCCAGGCCGAGAGCCCACGTGAGTTAGCCCTGCCGATAGGAAGCCTGGCTAGACACCCCCCAGGTCAAGGCCTCCCCGAAGAGTGCCAACCACCTAAAAGGAAATGGCCAAGTGTACTCACAATGTTAACACAAGCCTATAAAATGATGACAAATGTCACAGTGACATTTAAGAATTTAGTAAGGAAACCAGGATGGGAAAGATCTTAAAACAAACCACACAGGAAGCTTGTCACAAGTCTCAAGTTTTTTATTTTCAGAACAAAGGCTGGTTTTATTTTTAAAAAGAAAAAGGGGGGGGGGGGAATGTGTCAATGCTAGTGAGGTGCCACCTCCCTTCTTCCAGACTCTAACTTCCAGCCAGCTCTCTTCCCCAAAAATACATGGTCTCAGAACCAAGCCAAGTTCTATCAGAACAGCCTTGAGACAGGGTCCAGTTCAACCCCTTTTTACAATCCATAACGAGTCAGAGGCTCAGATCAAGGGCGCACCTTACTTTCGTAAACCTTGGAGGCAGGCAGACTGAATTCTGAACGCGGGCTACTTTTCTATGAACTATACTGCAGGCATATGCCTCAGGAGACAGCGCACCTCTTGTTTATGAGACCCTCAGGGAAAACATCTCCTGTTTGACCCCCCCCACTACAGAAGCCCCTAGAAAGCAAGAAAAATGAAACTTGAGGGGTCAGATCTCTTTGTGAGTAGGGCAAGGAAAGAAAGCAAAAGCACTCAAGGAAAAAAAAAAAAACGGAAGGGATTGACCCCTGAGCACAAAGTACTTGCACCAGATGTTTGAAGGACAGTGTCCAGGGGTGAGTGTGGCCGGAAGGCAGGGCTGGCCCGGATGCCATCTGTGTCTCGATGTACCTGGGCAAGTGGTAGCTCATCGGAACCTATCACAGCCTCCCACCAAAAAACTCAACAGCACTCAGATTTTACAGTCAGTCGCTGGGCAGAGGAGACCACCATCCAAACAGGAGAAAGGGGGTAGGGCAGGGTCCAGTGAGCAGCTGGCTATGGCTTGGACACATTGTCCTTTCATAGCCACTGAGATTAGGTAGCAGAGAAACAGAGCAAAGTTGGAGAAAGGGGATGGAGATCCAGGGAGCAGCTATGGGGTCGGTGGCGGGGGGGGGGGGGGGGGGGGCGGCACCCAGGGTCTGGGTGGAGAACTTTGAGCACAGAGAATTCAAAGGGAAAGGATATGGGGAGGAGGAGGCAGAAAAAAAAAGACTAGTTGCAAAATCAAACCCCCTAATATTGGACCTGGTAGGGTGAGGGGCTGAAAGCACAGACAATCCACTGAGAGTAAACATTTTTCCTCTGTTGTTCCCCACTGTGACAGTAGGGGAGGCTCAGAACTCTGATCAAGATACCAACCCCTCTGTGTCTTGTCTATATGGATGTCTTTTGTCAACAAACCCCCAGGAAGTTGAGAGAGAAGGGCCCCAAGTGAAAAACTGGGGCCCAGAAAGCAAAAGTGATGTATCACTCAAAGCTAGTGAGTGACAGTCAAAACTACAACCCATGACTTCTGGTCCTTTGTCCAGGGTTCATTACACCACACGAAGTATAAGGAGGGGGGACAGGAAACAAAAATTCTTACAGTTTTGTCCCCCACCCCATCCTAGTTGGGGTGGAAGAAAGTGAGTATTTCCTGGCCTTGCTGCCAACTGTCCTCCAGCACTCTTACCTCTCCTAAAAATACTTACCCATCCTCAAAGATTCTAAGAGTGATGTCCTACATGGAGACTATAAGCGGGCAACCCCTAGGTGTCCCTTGTCATTCATCTCAAGAATACTAGGGAGGAAGGCAGGGCAGGGGGAGGATTTGCCCAGCCTCTCCATGCAGCCTGCCTTCTCCTTAGAAATTCCCTTAACCAGAGTAGAGGACAAAGGTCATCATCACCCTTTCTGATCTATACCAGGCTTCCTAGAGGAAGGACAGATGGGGAATGGATTCCCTTGAGCAATGGGAACCCCAACATCACATCTATCCAGGAACCCCACCAAAGCTGTCATTCTGAGCCAAGATCTGACCCAGTCAGCAACAAACCTTGGGAGGAGTAAGAGTTCGGGGTGCAGAGGAAGCGAGAGCGGGAGGGCAAGCCAATGGCTGATACTCCACAGACCCTGTAATAAGACTGGCACCAAACCCCAGCTGGATCCAGTGGCCATGTTGAATGTAACTTCTGAGTATTTTGCCTTTGTTTTTTGCAAGCAGCATCAGTGCACGATGCAACAAAAGTTGAAAGCACGGAGGTAGAAATGCTCACTCACCCAAGAAAGGGTGCAGTTTGGTCATTAGTGTATGGACCCTCTCTGCCTCCAAGCTGAGAAGAGAGGAGTGGAATTGAGGAAGATCCTGGGTGAGCTTCTCCCTTGGAGGGGAGCAACTGGGCAGCTCGCAGGAGCCCAGCTCTTTCTGGGAATTCATGGCCACAAATTCAGGTAGAAATGAAGAGGGCGGTCCTGTGTGTGGCGGGAAGGACAGGGCCTCCCCAGATCTCCTACTGATTGCAAGGGGCCACAGTGTGGACACAAGAAAACTATACTACACACACAGACAGACTTTGCACCTACCATCTGGGAAAAAAAAAAATCCAAAGAGACCCACCAGGGGAACAGTGGATTCTGGATCAGTTTCAAGGCGTGGGACAACGAGCACAAGGCCACAGCCTATAAGAAGCTGGCACTTCCAAGCGAGGGGAAAGGCTTAAGGCCCAGCACCCCTGTCTGGGCACCCCGTGTCCTCCGTTTTCCCCCACAATGTACAAGACTTAGGATGGCGGTGGGAAAAGCAAGAAGCAGAAGTACCCGGACCCCTGAGGCTGGATGAGGGTAGGGCAGGAGAAGGGAGAACAGAGCAGTAAGTGGCTCTTCCTCCGTCACCATTAGCTGCTCATCTCCCTCCAAGCTGTTGACCAGAAGGCTGCAGGACACAGCAGCCCTTAGCCCAACCAACGGTTCCGTCTTCCAAATAGAGCCTGATGGAATCCGGGTGAGAGACGGTCAAAGGACAAGGCGCAAAGCAAGCCCCTGTCCCTCAGGCCTCCTCAATTCTGGGACGTCACAGCCAGGGTATTGACATAGCCGTGGGCGCCCCCCTCGTTCTCCGAGATGCAGTGGCCTAGCTGGGAGCCTCCTTGCGCGGGCAGTGGCGGCGGCGGCGGGGCAGAGGGCGGAGCTCCGTAGCCCCCTCTTCCCCGGCTGGGGGACGCCCGACTCCCCGGGTCCCAACAGCCCTCGAGGGCTTCCAGGCCTCGGCAGGCGAGGAAAAAGAGGTTCTTGAGCATGAAGACGGAGAGCGGCTGCTGGTAGCTCACCACCAGGAGGCAGCGCAGCGCCAGCAGCGGCACGTCCACCAGGCAGCCGCCCAGCAGGCGCAGCAGGCGGCCACAGCTGCCCGGCCCCGGAGCCGGGCCCCAGGACGGCGCGGCCGCCGCGGCGTTGAGCTCGTAGAGCCAGAGCACCGGCGAGGCGAGGGTGAGGAAGTAGACGGCGATGAGCAGGTAGCGCAGGTGCGCAGGCAGCAGCACGCGGCCTTCCAGCGTCAGCTCCACCAGCGTGAAGCTGTCGAGCAGGTCCAGGCACGTGCCCAGGAAGCAGCCGGCGGCTCGGTGCTGCTGCGGCTGCAGGAGCAGGGGTCCCGCGGAGCCGGGGGGGGCGCCCGCCTCGCTGATGGCCCGCACCAGGCTGTAGAGCAGAGGCACCGACAGCGCCATGGTGAGTCGGAAGCCGGTGGTGCCCAGGGGCGCGCGCAGCTCGATGAGGTCCAGGATGGACGTGCCCAGGATCAGCACCACCTTGGGCGTGAAGGCGATGGAGTAGATGAGCCAGGCCAGGTAGGCGAAGGCGAACTCGCCCGCCGCCCCGGCAGCCCCCGGGCCGCCCCCCGGGCCGCCTGCGCCCCCGCGGCCGCCGCGCGCCTTGGCCCCGGCTGGCGCCCCGGCGGCGGCGGCGGGCAGGTGCAGGGGCGGCGCCGCGTGGTGGTGGTGCTGGTAGTGGGTGTGCGCGCCGCCCGCCGCGCCGCCCCGACGGCCCCGGCTGTTCTTGGCGAAGAAGATGGCCCAGCCCGCCACCACCACCAGGTCCGTGGCGATCCAGGAGCACCAGTACAGGTCGGTGACGGCGATGAGGTACAGGTCCAGCAGGCCGCCCTGGGCCAGCAGCAGCACCACGGACAGCGCCTGGTAGCCCCAGCGGCACCCGGGGCGGGGGGCGCAGCCTCGGCGCCCACCCCTGCGGCCCGAGCGGCCCGGGCGGCCGCAGCAGCAGCAGCAGCAACACGAGCAGCAGGACGCGCCGCCGCCCGCCCCGGGGCCGCCCCCGCCCCCGCCCCCGCCCCCGGCCGCGCGGCCCCCGGGACCCCCAGGACCCCCGACGGCCCCCGCCGCGGCGCCGCCGCCGAAGTCCGCCGCGGTCATGCTGCAGGAGGAGGTGGGCGTGGAGGCGGAGGAGGAAGCGGCGGCGGAGGAGAAGGCGGCGGGTGCGGGGTCGGCGGCCGGGGCGGCCCCCTGGGCCGGGGGTCCCGGGAGCGCGGCGGCGGCGGGCACGAGCGGCTTGCTGATGCTGATGCTGTCGTCGTCGTCCTCTCTCTCCGCGCCGGTGCTGCTGCCGGGGGAGCCGCCGCCGCCCCCGCCGCGCCTGCCGCCGCCTCCCCCGCGGCTGGTGCTGGTGCTGGTGCTGCTGTCGCCCGAGCCTCTCCGGCCGCGGGAGGCGCCCCCCCGGAGGAAGAGGGGCTGCAGCCGGGCCGCGGCGGGGGGCGGGGGGCACGGGCCGGACGAGGACGAGACCGAGCGCGGGTTGCCGAGCGCCGCGTGCATTGTCCTCGGAGGGGCTCGGGGGGCGGCCCGGCTGCTCCCTCCCCGCCGACCCCGGGCTGGCGAGGCGGCCGAGGGGAGCCGGGGCCAGCGCTGCCTCCGCCCCGGCGGCTGGGGCTCGTACCGGGGTGGGCAGCAGCGAGACCCGGACTGGAGCCGCGGGACTGGGCGAGCCGAGCCCCGTGGCTGGCGGCGGGTAGGCGCGCGGCCGAACCCACCGCGGTGACAGCGGGCGCGGCGGGGGCGGGGGCGGGGGCGGGGAGGAAAGGGAGGCTGGCGGCGGGGAAACCAGGACTGGATTCGGGGGGGAGGAGGAGCAGAGACCAGAGGAGGAGAAAGCCTGGCTCTCCCTGGATCAGCAGGAACAAAAGGGGGAAAGGGCAGCTGAGGCCTGAGCGTAGGGGTGGGAGCCCGAGGGGGGCCTCGAGGAGGCGAGACGGGCTGGGAGGAGCCGAGAGGCGGGAGGTGGGCGGGTTGGCGCCGGGAGGACCTCACCGAGCAGAGGATGCCCAGGGAGGTGGCTCAGCGCTCCCGCGGCTGAACCGCTGAAGCCTTAGCAACCCGATGGCCTCAGATCGTGCCTCTGAGCCGCAGGCACGACGACAGGTTCAGGCCTCTGCCCCTGGTCAGCACAACTTGTTCTGCAGGCACCCTGCAGGCACCCTGCCCAGTGCCCTTTCCCCTGGGGCAGCCCGCCTCTCCCTCAGGCACTTACAAACCAATGGAGGGATGGGGCCACACTGATTCAAAAGCCCCGGAACAGCAGCCCAGACATGAATTTCAATCTACCCGTGTGCCCTGCGAGGGGGGTTCAGCGGTAGACGCCCTAGGGAGGTCCCAGTTTCCAGTGAACCGAGCAGTTCTTTGAATATAACTACTTGAGGAGAGAGCACAGGTAAAAGAATTATTCATTCGGCCCCAGCCAAGTGGGTTCTCTCGTATTCTCAGAGGTCTTTGAAGTGGGAATTAGGAATAATAAAGATGTATCTAGGAGAGAGGAAAATGAAGGGACATTTAGTGCTCAAGTACCTTGATAAAACCAAGGCTCCAAGAGGGTGCTGGTGAATGTTACAACCTGCCACTGTGGACAGGCTCTGCACCGACAAACTCAGAGCTCCTTCTGACTCACACCCTCAGATTTATTCCATGACTGGGGCTGGATACCCATCAATAACTCAGGAAGGCAGCAAGTAGAGTTATGGCTTTAGAAGTTTAGGGGAGGAAACAATGACAAGAGCATTTGGGGCTCAAACATAAAAAATATCTGAGGCTAACATATAATGCAAACATCCCAGACACATCAAAGCAAGGCAGGAAGCCTGTCTGCCCCTTCCTCCTCCTCCCTCCTTCTCCATATACTCAGGCTGCAAGTTCCTTGCCTTGATTTCAGTGCTGTTCAAACTTGTGCCACCAGGGCTCACCTTCCTAGGTGACACCACGCAGTGCCAGGGAGGAGGACCCACTGGCACCATGGTGGCTGCTTGCCCTGTGCCTGGCCCCTCAATCAGCTTGGTGAATAAGAGTCAGTTTCTCCAGTCTCTTGCAGGTCAGTCTCTACAACTAATTCGTGGTAAATATAGGCCTTAGAACCACCAACGTGCACAATTTCCACCTGCCTCTGGCATACACAACCTTTAAAAAGTTCTATGTCCAGTCATGCCAGAGATATTTGGTGGCAAGAACATGAGCTCTGGAGACGGTGGTCTCGGCTCTGCCAGTTAGTTCGTGTGATTTTGAACTAGGGGTTATTTCCCCTCCCTGAGCCTCACATTATCCAACTGCAAAAAGGGACCAATATCTACCTTAACAGGCTGTTATATTAAGAGAGGTCATGAGTTCAAAGTGTTTAGCCTAGTGTCTGGCACAGAGTATGTACTCAGCTACAGGCAGCTGGTATTATCATCATCCCACTTAGCTCTTGTCTTAGCCTCCTAGGACACATTTACTCAAGGCACTAATGATGGTTTTCTGGGCTGCATTCCTTCCTGAGGCCACACTCAGAGGTCTGTCCCCAACAGCTTTGCACTCCAGTAAGTGCCAGGGAGCAAAGCTGCTCTCATTAGGACAGTGGTACTTGGAGCGGGTCTTCACAGACTGCACAGTGTGAGAGATTCTGCCATGGCAGCTGGTGCCAAGGCCCACCCACGTGGGGTAAGGTGGGGAACAAACAGCGGATGCAGCCTGCACTCATGTGTGAGCACCACAGCAGGTAACAGCAGATGTCAGGGCTGAGACAGTCCAGGTTAAAAAGCAGATTGGGGAGCTGCCAACTGCTAATGGAAGTGATTATAGCCAGTCTCCCAGCTCTCCTCCAGGGAAAACACCAGCCAACAACTAACTTGAAAGCTGACCCAAGACTTCTGCTCAAGTTAATGAAGCACTTGAAGGAGCAGAAGCAGCTGATGAAGGCAAAGAACTGGGTTCCTGAGAGAATACTAACAGATCTGTCCCCATGCCCCACACCTGCGAGCTCCTCTGACCCACTCACCACTCAGAGGTACTCGCCTCCTGCTCTTATCTGGCAGGCCCAGCCCCTCCCCTCACAGGTGTGCCAGGACAGGTTTCTCCCCCAGAACGTGAATTATAACAGCCTTTGAAGTTATCTTTTGTATTTCTGGGGAATGTACTATAAATAAGTTAGATTAACTTTCTGTAAGAGCCCAGTTTTTTCAGAGCAGAGACCCTGGATAAATGACCCCATAATAAGAATGAAAAATCAGAGGACACAAAAGAACAATTTGGTGGCCTGGGTATTGGAGGGATCTCCTCTTGGCACTAGGTTTTTTCTCATCTTCTGTGTATACACACACACACACAGCCTTTGCTTCAGCCTGGAAAGGGCTTGACAAAGACATGACAAGAAGAGGAAGGAAGACTTTCTCATACATAAACTGAGAGCACACATCCCACAAGGATGTAGAAAAGGGAAGACACAGTCGCCAAGCACCTCATAAGCACTGGGGGTCTGTGCTAGATACCTTACACATAACAACCTGGAAACCGGGAGGCAGAGAGGTTAAGCAACTTACTCCAAGTCACCAAGCTAGTTAAGGGCAGAGTTAGTGTTAGATCTAGACTTCTCTCAGCCCAGTGCTCTCAGGATAGCAACAGCTCATAAACAGCCTGGGAGACTGAGACAAACTAATCAGGTTTCAATCCAATATATATTTCCTTAAGAACCTGCTAAACACTGGACACTGAGCAAGTTTCATTTGGAGACTTAATATTCTTATTCTCCTGGAACAGAAAGGCCAAGGGCTCCCTGCCTCCCTGGAACAGCAGTGGACAGACTAGGAGTAAGGGAAAGATATTCCTAGCCGGCTCAGCACTGAGCCAGCTCAGCTCAGTGAGGCAGGGCCAGCCCATCCACATATTGACCCAAGGCCCTACTCTTTCCTGATCTGCCCACTCTGACTGGGCCCTCTCACCTTCACAGCAAGAGTAAAGAAAAGGTCCAAAGAGAACTGTTAGAGGGATGTGGGGAGCCTCACAGGTGGTTGGTGAAAAGACACAAGCAGGGCCCTCTGGTTCTCAACTACACAGTCACAATACTGACTCTCAAAAAATGAAAGGAAAGCTAGCAGAAAACTGGAACTGAAGTAGGATGGGTCTGTGAAGCTTGGGCTTATTAGGAACTTGAGGCCTCAAACTACTTTTAGAGCTCTCTGAAGAAGACATTACCCCTTCCCCACTTCAGAGCTCCTCTAATCTGGAGCAAGAATGTGGCTTGAACTGCCCCATGGATGTCTCACAGAGATGCCACTACCCTCTTGGATAAAAAAGTCCCGACATCAGCACCTCCATGCATCAGTCCCTGGGCTAGGTGTTGGGGTTCCAGAGACTAAAACAAAGCAAGTCTTCTTCTAGGAGTCCACCCTGGGAGGGGCCGCAACGAAGTGACCGAATGCTATACAGGGTCCAGAAGAGGTACAAAACAGGAGTCAGTAAAGCCTTCAGAGAGGTGGAGATGTGAGAGCTGTTGTAAAAATGAGCAGATGCTGGTTAGCAGATAGGAGGTGGGATGGGGTTAGGAGAATATTCCAGGTAGAAGGAGCAAGATGAGCAGAGTACCTAAGGTATGAAATAGTGGACACTTTTAAGGAAGTACAAGGCTTTGACACTGCCTGAATATGAAGAACACAAAGATGCAATGAAAGGTAAGGCTGAGGAAACAGGCAGGGGTCAGGTTACAGAGGACCTCATATGCCACACTGAACTCAGGCTGTATTCTGAGAGAACAGGGAACTCTTGAAAGCAGATATGTAACAACAACAGATTTGCATCTTGGAAAAGTTGCTTTCCAGTAAAGATGATGGATTAGAGGGAAGAGAAAATGAAAACAGACTATGTTCCACTTCTGGCAATACTGTAAACTAAATAATATAAAACCTCTCCAGCCCACAAAAAAAAAAAAAAAACCCACAAGATAAAATTGAATGTCCTTTTAAATGCCCAGTAGAGAGAGTAAGATAAATTCTTGGGGCCATAAATAAAGAGGAAACTGAAAACCACAATGGTAAGTGAAGTAAATGATGCTGTGCATGCCTTCGCATATGCATTTTACCTCAATAAGGAATGTTGTCTAATATGATCAAAATAAGCCATAAACAGCAATATAATTTAAATTTATTTAAGTTAATATTAATTGAAATAAATTGTAACTTAAAATTCAGCTCCTCAGTCTCACTAGCAACTTTTCATGTACTCAAAGCCCTTGTGTGGATAGTGGCTATCATATGGGACAGCAGATATAAAACAATTCAATCACTGTGGCAAGTTCTATTGGACCACACAGATGGAGACCTGGATTTAATAGCCAAACAGAGACAAGGAATCTGGCATTCAACCCAAATGAGGCAAGAAGGCAGAGCTGACCTTCCTACATAAAACCAGAAACCTCAATGAAGGGATGGATTAGAAAAACAAATCTACCATCCAAACAGGGAGACTACAAGTAAATGAATGAACATAGGCCTAAGTTGGAAGTGAAATAAAGACTTCTC